AACCAGTCTCCAGTGCTATGTTGAAGTCACCCAGAAACAAAAGTTTGGGTGACTCCGACAACACCTCTGAGACCAGTTCCATAAGCTCGGCCAGGGAGTCTGTTAGGCAGCCAGGTGGACTGTAGAACCTCCAGTCTATCCCTGGTTTTCAGACTCACAAGACAGCTATTCAAAATTCCCTCTTCCCTCCCTGATTAGCTGAAAGAGGGCCAGTCTGGATCTTTGCCCTGATTGGATGAGTGTGCTGCTGATGTCACCACCTCTGGACGGGGAAATGGTAGTCTGGGATTTTCTGGCCTGGGATTCAATTCGCTGTTGGGATGTCCCCTGGAGGGGGTATATCTCATGGATACCATGGTCAAAGAGATGATAATGAGTCTTTGATTGACTCAACAGTCCAGTTCTGAACTTTAACAAAAGTGTGACTTTCAGGAGACTTGGTTATGGGGATGATCCCAGCAATCAAGGGATCAAATGTGCATACTCTGTGGTGTGTATTCTCTCAGCCCAAATGACCATTTCTACAATTAGTCCTTCACATATGTGAGTTTAATTTTTGTGGATTTGATCTTTTGCAGATTTAATTAGTGTCCTTTGTAGACATCTCTAGGTCCTCTAGTATGACTCTATGGTCAACTTCTGCACAGGAAAACCTACAGATTCTTAAGAGATATGTTATCTTGGGTTTAAAAAATCCCAGTATTTTTAATTCATGTTTCTCCCCTACTTTCCACTGCATTCCTACCCCCTGTGAAAGCAGAGGATCTGCAATTATTTGCAAAGTTATACTAAACATTTCAAAGCTTGCCCACTTCCATGCTTGCTTGGACATGGTTTATCCATTGCAGATGCAGTCTCTTTGTTGAAAAAGATTGAAGATAGCATTCTTTGGAGTGATTGATTTTTGTTATGTCTTATTTCCTGTGAATCACATATGTTCCTGTGCATCCCATGATCTCCATTTTGTTCTTTCCAAGTTCTAAGTTTTCATGTCTATTCAAAATGAGTGTTCTTTCTCACCTCTCCACCTTTCTGATCTCATGAGAGGAAGTCAGCATAGGAGAAGAAAACAGAAAGACCATAATAGGAAAAACCAATTTTTGGTTGACAAGAAGAAATACATGTCTTGAGAACAGGAATAAGGAAGTCAAATACCTTTAATTTAAAGAAAACAGGGAAAATCTACCTTGTGTCTTTGACAGGACAAGAAGCCAAATTGTATGTCTTGGTTGAACAAAGATCTGCTGGTATGAGTATAAAATAATGGTGAGGGATTTTATCACTAAATTAGATCTTTCATGAAACCACATTTTCTAGATTTAAAACAAAGAACTAGAAAGATTAAATATAGGTATGAAAACAAGATAACAAAGGTGTCTACTGCTGTCATTTCTCTGTTGTCTTGGAGAAATAATATCTCATCTCTTCCAAAATAAAAGTGAAATAAAAAATCATACTTGCAAAGGCCTAATTCTTAGGTATAGAACATTGAATTTCTCAAGTAGTCTCTATACTTTTACATCTGGAAAAAAAAATCTCAAGGTGCTGTATAGGTAAACCTCAGCCAATTATATTCCAAAACAACAAACTTTTATGTTTGCTGGAGTTCGAAACCTCAGAGAGTTATGTTCCAATCTTTAGTTTCCTTTTGTTTAGGATTCCCCGGTTTTGGCCAAATTCAGTATCTGCCTAAGAAGCAGACCTGTGGCTTCACAAAAGACATAGATACCTTGGATCCTAAGTGGAGTTAATTTAGTGCTTTTAATGGAGGTTGCATTTTCCTGTCCTTTGTCTTGGTTTACACATGACCAAGAGAGCAATATCTTCTACCTGCATTGAGATCCGTTCAAACTAAGGACCTCTTCACATGAGGTATTTTTGCTTTTATGGGTGGCTTGGATGGGGCTGCAGTATGCCATCACATGACACATGACAGGCCCCACCCATATTCTTCCCATGGTGGAGGGGAAACACCAAAAGGCACTTTCTTCTCCACTATGGGGAGGAAAGTGTTGTTTGGATAGCTCTGATAGACCTACCCACACTTTCCTCCCCTTTTTGCCATGTGATGGCAGAAAGGGCGGCAGGGCAATGTGTGTTGCCACGCATTGCTGCCTTTTCTGCACTCTGATGGGGACAGGGTGTCCCTCTAATGGGGACACCATGTCCCATCCCCACCATGTGATGTGGGGAGGAGGGAGGGCATGTGAGGTGGTACGAGCTACTCTGTGCACACCTTTCCTTTAGCAGTGCAACGGCATGCCCTGAAAGGACTGTGTGAAGAGATCATAACTAAACTGCAACACAAATAGAATCTGATACAAAATGTAGACCTGTGACTCCAATGCTGTAATTTTTCTTTTCCTGGATGGTTTTTAAACATATTTTCCCTGATGAACAAGCTAGTGACATAAGTTTCCAGCCTGTGTTTTGTGCATTCTGGTTGGCCAACAAAGGTTTCACTCTTTTGTGGACTTTGAATGAATTTTTAATTTTCCTGTATGGCCACCATGGTTACCCCTGAGTAGAAGTATAAAACTTTATTATGGTCACTGACCAGCACAAAGCGGGGCACAAGCGCCCTGGGAGGGGAAGGACAATCCCCCAGTAAAGCAGTTATTTAAAAGTAGATTAGAAAACAGTTTAAGATCACATTTTAAAACACAGGATATTGTAACAGGTATGGAACCGAAGTGGGGGGGGGGAGGGAAAGATTGATAGGAGGAGTCAAAATCACTGGGGGGGGGCACTAAAGGGGAAGGAAGGGGCACATTGCAAGTCTAGTAGCATTTCAGCTGTAACATGTTGCTCTAACTACATTCCCAACAGGGTGTTACCTTGTGGGGTTAATCATCATCTGTCTAATTCAGGGGTCCCCAAACTTTTTGAACAGAGGGCCGGGTCGCAGTCCCGCAAACTTTTGGGGGGCCGGATTATAATTTGAAAAAAAACATGAATGAATTCCTATGCACTCTGCACATATATTATTTGCAGTGCAACCCCCCCCCCCCAAATAAAAAACAAAGACCCACACTTCTATATAAATAAAAATGTAATGTTCGTTTGTGGGATTAACAGAACTCAAAAACCACTGGACGAATTGAAACCAATTTTAGACACAAAACACCTAACAACCCAATGTATGCCCTTCACACAAAAAATGATTTTGTCATTTGGGAGTTGTAGTTGCTGGGATTTATAGTTCACCTACAATCAAAGAGAATTCTGAACCCCACCAACAATGGAATTGAACCAAACTTGGCACACATTTCTCCCACGACCAACTGAAAATAGTGGAAGGGTTTGGTGGGCAGTGTCCTTTGGTTTTGGAGTTGTAGTTCACCTACATTCAGAGATCATTGTGGACACAAACAATGATGGATCGGGATCAAACTTGGCACAAATACTCAATATGCCCAAATGTGAACACTGGTGGAGTTTGGGGGAAAATAGAATCTTAACATTTGGGAGTAGTTGCTGGGATTTATAGTTCATCTACAATCAAAGAGCATTCTGAACCCCATCTAAGGTGGAATTGAACCAAACTTGGCACACAGTTCTCCCATGACCAACAGAAAATACTGGAAGGGTTTGGTGGGCAGTGTCCTTGGTTTTGGAGTTGTAGTTCACCTGCCTCCATCAATCACTGTGGACTCAATGATAGATCTGGAGCAAACTTGGCACTGATATTCCATATGCCCAAATGGGAACACTTGTGGAGTATGGGGGAAATAGAATCTTGACGTTTGGGAGTTGTAGTTGCTGGGATTTATAGTTCACCTACAATCAAAGAGCATTCTGAACCCCATCTAAGGTGGAATTGAACCAAACTTGGCACACAGTTCTCCCATGGCCAACAGAAAATACTGGAAGGGTTTAGTGGGCAGTGTCCTTTGGTTTTGGAGTTGTAGTTTACCTGCCTCCTTGGAGACCAGAGCGGCTGGAGCAGAGTGTTCCTGCAAAGGCCGGAGCAGCGCGGGTGGGCATGGCCAGCGGAGCCGGGTGGACGTGGCCACCCGGCGCCGCTCCGGCCTTTGCAGGAACACTCTGCTCCAGCCGCTCTGGTCTCCAAGGAGGCAGGTAAACTACAAAAGGCTTCTCCCTGCCACACAAGCAGAGCGGCCAGAGCAGAGAGTTCCCGCGATGGGTGGAGCAGCGCCAGGTGGGCGTGGCCAGGCCAGGCCTTGCGGGCCAGAGAAATGCCCTCGGCGGGCCGCATACGGCCTGCGGGCCGTAGTTTGGGGACCCCTGGTCTAATTTAAAGTGCAGCAGCACAGAATTTAGCAACACTGTAAGTTATTGTAGTGTTAGAGTCCAAAAGCAGCAAGGTGGAATAATATTTTTCACTGCGCCCTGGGTATTTTAGAAGCCATGGTCTAATGAGATTAGATCTAAGATCTCTGTAGAACATGCAATGAAGAAGCACGTGTTCAGTGTTTTCTACATGACCAGACTCACATACCCCTGAGTATGTTCCCATACATTGTTAAAAACAATTACAATAAATATGAAAATATAAATCTGCTTTCTGGATGCCAGAATCCATTGAACTATCAGGCATATATCATTAAATGATGACACTTTCATAAATGAATATTGGTATGCTGAAACTAAATGAGCTACAGAGATTTATACCAGGTTCTGATCTGCCAAACCACTTTTAATCTGTATAATAAATCTTCTCATGCACTGGCGCTCCTTTTAAGCATTTTGCTTTGCAGCTGCTACTTTTAGACATTGAAGTAAATTATAATGTCCAGGATTGTTACTTAAATGTGGTAGTTTCTTTTAGATGTGGAGTGTGACCACATTCACCAAGAGGAAGCAAAGTCATTTTTGGTTTCAAATTTTTCCTGCTGCATCTTTAAACTGCCTTTTTATAAGCATGTGTTGTGGTTTTAGACAATGTCTGAAGAAAGACCAAAGACTGTAAATCTTAAATGCTCTGCCTAATAATACTCATGGTTATATTTGGTCTTCTTTCTCTTTGTTCTCATGAGGTGATCAGCCAAGTCCTATTATTCTTTGGGATCCTTCTTTGGCTCAGACTGACAGTGAGACCCATTCTTCGGTGCAGCTAAACTGGGGAGCTTACAAGGAACTGCTAAAGCACCAGTGTTGGCAAAATGGCAAAGTTCCCAAAGTAGAATGGGGATGTACTGGCATCCACCATTTTGAGTGGTCCAAAATGACACTTCTGGATTTTCTTTTACAGGTAAGCAAAAGGATATTCAAATTTCTAAAGAGATTCCATCTGTATCCACACTACAGAAATATAGTGACTGAACATCAGTTTAACTGCTGTGGCTCAATGCTATAGAATGGGTGGTATGCAAGATTAATTTTAGTAACCCATATTTTGATAATGGAGTGCCTCGCAATCTTACTGCATTTTGTGGACATTTGCTACCCCACAGATGGTTGACAGCACTAGCTTTATCATCAAATCCAAAAAGTGTTTTGTTTTGTCTTGCACCACCTCCTGAAGACACTAAAGTTAGTATAGACTGAGTACCCCTTATTCAAAATGCTTGAGACCAGAAATGTTTTGGATTTCAGATTTTTTCAGATTACAAAATATTTTCATATGCATTTTGGCGATGGAACCCATGTCCAAACACAAAATTTATTTATGTTTCACATGCACCTTAGACACATAGCATGGAGATAATATTATACATTATACTTGTAATAATGTTGTGTTGGAAAAAAACGTTTATATAGCTTAATCCATCAGAAATCAAAGGTGTCACTATCTCAAAAACTCATGTGACATTTTTTGATGTTGGAGTATGTTGGATATTCAGATAAGGGATACTTAGCCACCCGTGTACATGGTTTTGGAGCATTTTAGTTTTCTGGATAAAGAACATTCAACCTGTAATTCTCACACAAAAGACCCATGCAGCCTTCACTATATCTTTTCCAAAATGGAGTGCAGCCACTTGAGCTTTAGAGGCCACAATGCAATGAAATCATAAATTGATTCAGGCAAAAAAAAAAAAAAAATCTCAGCAGAAACTCAATTTTTCTGATGGTCTGTAAGTTGATTCCAGGTTTCATAGGGAGGGAGGCTAGATTGACTACCATTCCATTGTGCTTTCAGCAGCAGCAGGTTAGCCACATAGGGAATACACAGCTGGATTGGCATGTAGACTAGGAACTTCCTGCCAGAAGTTGGAAAAAAATCTTTTTTGGGGCCTACAGTTCATTGGGACAATTCCTACAGGTGGATTCTTGGAGTTATAGTCTAAACTTGGTATAGAATACATTGTCTTGATTGCTATACCACATTTCTTCTCCTTTAATTAAAATAAAACAACATTTTAGCTTATAGGAATGATTTATACTAGTGACACTTCACATTCACATGGTTTGCAGTGACTCAAGTAATCTTATGGAATAGCTGTTTTCACATGACGGTGTGTTCCATTCTACTGAATGATGTATATTCATTTTCAGATATATCACCGCTTGGATAAGAACTGCTGTGGGTTCAAACCACGTAAAGAGGATTCCTGTGTAGAGAAAGGACTGAGTGGAAATTGTGATGACCAGGATAACATTGCTTTGACACATATTATCCAGAGGAAGGATGATCCAAGGCATTTGGTTTTTATAGATAATAAAGGCTTCTTTGACAGAAGTGAAGACAATCTGGATTTCAAATTGTTACAAGGCATAAATGAGTAAGTTCCATACTATACCAGCATACTATACCAGAAACTCTTTTTTCCTTCACCATCTATTTCAGATCCATACTATCTATAGTCTTCCACAGTGGGGGATATCAGGTTTTTTTTACTAAATGGGATCCAATGTGATGATCTGTTAAAGTTCTTGCCTTCGGAAATTCCAAAAATTTCATAGCTCCTGTCAGTTCTGCTTCTTATTTTCTCCTACCTTGCATGTTCTTGGGGAACTGCCTTTTCACTGACTGAGTTGGCCATGTTCCAGTAGCATGTTGGACCCATGTTCAGACACAGTGAAAGCAGACCTCCTTATCAACTGTATAGCATTTTCAGAGGAGATAGCTCTTGAAAATGCTACCCTGTTTCCCCGAAAGTAAGACCTAACTGGAAAATAAGTCCTAGCATGATTTTTCAGGATGTTTATAATAGAAGCCTTAACACCAAAATAAGCCCTAGTTAAGAGCATCAGTCAGGTGGATTAATTTGCTGATAGTATATCTGCTGCAATAAATGACAGATGTCTTGCATTATAAAATAGCAATATAAATTTATAACTAAATATAAATAATTAATATTATTGACATAATATTAAGACGATGTTCCAAAAGAAGATAACATCACTGTATTTGAATAAATATAAATATAAATTCATGTTTTACATGAATAAATGAATAAATGTAGATTGTTGTCCATGAAAAAAATAGACATCCACTGAAAGTAAGCCCCAATATGTCTTTTGGAGCAAAATTAATATAAAACCCAGCCTTATTTTTGGGGAAATATGATATATAGTGAGGTGGAGTGGGGGTGGCTCACTAGACTGTGGGATTGAAAGGAGGTGTCTTCCACAAGGATCGTTCTGTCAGTGGAAGACAGATCCTGGAAATAACCAGCAGTCATTATTTCATTCACACAATAGAAGAGTGATACTGAGAAAAACAGGGAGTTGTTCAACTACAATATCTAATAACATTTAAGTAAATTTATTTCAATTTTTTGTTTGTCTGTTGACTTTCAGGTTCCCCCACTCAGCAATATCTGTGCTGAAAAGCCAACATTTGCGAGAAAAGCTTCTTCAGTCTTTGTTCCTTGATAGAATATTTTGGGATAGCCAAGGTGGTCGCCAAGGCATTGAAAAACTGATTGATGTGGTTGAACGGAGGGCCAGAATTCTCCTCACTTACATTAATGCACATGGGGCAAAAGTGATCCCAATGAATGAGTGAGACAGCCCCACTGAAGACAACAATGTTTCCATCTAAAGCAGGGGTGGAAATTTGAGGTCTTCTAGATATTGTTGAACTGCAAATCCTGGCAGGCTATGTTCATAGAGCCCTGGATGAAGAATGCTGGAGATCTCATATAATAATACCAAGAACTCCACAGTTCTTCTCAGCCCTGATCTAAGTAAACATGTAAAGGAGTATGCTATGAATGGATGAACACTGAAAGAAGAAAACACACGGACTCTACCTGATTCAAAATTAGTCAAAACTTTATTTTACAATCCTATACACATTTGCCAAATAGTAACCTCTTTAAAACTCAGTGGATTTACTATTGAGCAGACTATAATATGATTGTGCTATCATCTGAACAAATAATGAAACTAACATTTTAAAATAGGGATTTACAAAGATAATCAGGGCGCAATCATACCTAATTCTCTGGATTATGAAGTCATAAAGCACTTCAGAAGATAAGTTTCACTCTGGAAAAATAAAGTTTCAATCCAGATTTAGGCTTGTGCCACTTGAATATTGCAAATTGATTTCTCCACCATTCTTGCTTACGACTACCTATTGAAAATAATACACAGAAGACTGCAGCACACTAATGGATGGAGCGGCAACTTTCATGTGCACCACTGACAAAAGGAACCTCCACCTGATTTGTTGGTAATCCACCTCTTCCTCTCACACCATGACATTCAGCAAGCTTCCAGTCCCTCAGTGTAGATGTCTTCAGCAGCTAGAAAGGCTGCCATGCAATCTTAGTTGTATACACTAATATGGATCCTGTTCTAACACTAGTAATAGATAGGTATAACTTGCTAATTTTCTACTGGAAGGAAGCAATAAAACATTTTAGCAATTTCCTCATTGCTGTGAAAATGTCTTTGAAAACTACTGTTTTTGAAGACTCTTTACAGCTTAGGAATATTTTATGCACATTTTTCACATGGTTGTTTCCTACAAAAAACAACATTTTTGGTACAGGAAATATATAAGAAATATTATTTCTTTAGTATAACATTATTCTATTTGCAGGAAATGCTGCTGATTGGATAGAAAATGCCTTTCCCTCTATGTATAAATCAATGGCATGCAATTTTTGCACAGAATGTGTCCTTGTCTACAACATTTTCTACTCAAGAAATAACTTTTTCTGCATAGAAAATTGCATAAGTCCTGAACTGTGAAGATTCATATCTGTTTTCCTCAATGTTTTTCAACACTTGACAAAGGCATTTGTGACCACTTTCAAATATTTTGTCAATTCTTCCCATCCCTTCAATGCTAACAGATTTCCCATAATTTATTTCAAGGGGAATGTGTTTAGAACATTTTAGAAATATTGTTCACTTTGGGAGAAAACCCTGAAATATATGACAAAAGTTGAAACTCTAAATGTTGCAAAACTTGCATAAAGAAATGCTTTTACAGAGACTTTTCAGTTATTTCCAGTTAAAAGTCTGACCTCAGATTTCTGTACACGTCTAAGACTGTTTTATTAAAAAGAAATCAAAAGACCAAAAACACACTCTTATTGTACTCAGTAGCCTGTTATTAAATTCTAAAGAAATGTTTACTATCTATCGCAGTATGCATATGTTTCATGGGAATGTTGCCTTCTTTCTTTTGTCAAGAATTTGTCGATAACCTGGATTTTTTTTGTGTTAATGTAATTAAACACTCCAGAGAAAATTAGAATCGTATAATCAATATAAAACCAGTATTGCTCACATTAATATGTGAAATTCAGTTCTGCCACCATCCACTTCTTCTTCACCTTCATTGTTCCATTAAATCAGTGACATCACAATGCCAGGAAAAATCACAACTGGAAGAATTATCCTCTCCCAGTCATAAATTCTATTGATCTGCAAGAAATAGAAGGTCAAAGAGGATTTATATGATACTGATTTTCAGAAGCTTTTGAAAGTGGCTGCGATGTACCTGCAGCAAATGAGAGTGAGTGAGCTTCTAAAGATGACATGAAAGAGAGGTACATGCGACCCACAGGCTACATTTTCTTCGGCCCAAGTATAGAAATTTGATCTAGCCACTTCATACTGCCTTTAATTTTATGTTGTCTACACAGTCCCCATTACTGGCTCTAAATAATGTTGATCAGAAATGTCTCCTGGATATCCAGATGGTACCCATAGACATCTGCTTGGTAATATGTAATAAATCTGATTCAACTAGTTGTAAATCATTTTAGTAGAAGTTGGGAAATGCTTCAGAGTTTGCGTGAAACTCTGGAGCAGCTCTGCATTCTAGGGTTAGTGTGGACAGCTTATCCAGCTCTAATTTGAAGTGGCCCGCTGTCTACATTATCCAGTGTCACCATCACCTTTTCCCTGAAAAATAAAAAAAGGTTGGGGTTGCATTGTGTCTGTTGTCATCATAGTCCTCCAGCCTCCTTTGCAAACCGTGTTGTGGTTGACATCAGTCAGTTTGCTCCCAAAGGTGGGTATGTCAGAGGTTTGTGGCTTTTACCAGCACTAATATCAGTCCCTTTAGGAATCCTGCTCAGTGGCACCAAACAGTGTTTGGAGTGGCTGGGCAATGGGGACTCCCTGCCATCTCCATGGTGGCTTAGGGAATCTCTATCAGTCCACCAAGTGGGCTTGATCCAGTGTCCAGGATGCTAGATCAAGCCTGATTACTGAGTCAATGTAGAACCAACCTATGATAGCTTTAGCTTGTTCTGAGTGTTTTGCAATGGTATAAAATGTGGCTGGGAAAATCTGGGATGTAAGAGACAATCTGGTATTGTGAATTCAGCACTGAATGATGACTCTGGAGACCTGGGTTTAATTCCACACTTGACCATGGAAACTCAGGTCAGTCACATTCTCATCCTCAGAAAACCCTTAGGGCCACTTTAAGTTGGAAATGTAAAGGCACACAACAAGAAGCCATAGCAAGATGACAAATCAGGTATTGCCGTTCTGAATAAAGGATATGGCAGAGTTTTTGGAGAAGGAAAGGGGAAATTCCTCCTCCAGAGCTCCACACATCCTTAGAAGGAAAACAAAGCAATTACAAGTCTCCACACTGGGTGAGTAGCCTTTTTAACCCTTTACTACCAGGAAAGGGGTGAAAGAAGAGGATGGCATTACCATCCCTCCTCTGTGGGCTGCTTGAGCCTAAGGAGGCAAGATTGCTGTGGTTCTCATACCCACAACAACCACAAAGAAGAGGACCTTAGTGAGAGGTCCAAATCTTTGGAGATGTTTTTAAAACCCAGTATCCATCTGGATTTCCACACTTATTCCCGATTGACCTGCATTATCATGAGGCGTTGTTTGTATGACTCATGATAATCTGCCCCCTACACCACATTTTCGTACAGTGTAGATGGGGCCTGAGTCTTCCTACTCAGAAAGTTCTATGAAATTGCTCAGTTATGAGATACGCCCTTTTGAGAGACTGAACCGTATGTGGGTGTTTCTTACTCATTATTGGAATTCTATTGGTTTGCTGACTCAGCTGGAATTATTTGGAGTGTTTGCATGAAAAGAGGGATGAGATTATCAAGAGACATTATAAAACCTACAGCACCAAATACTATAACACTGCTGTGAAATGCCTTCTTTAGAATAGCACTGTTTCTTTGTTTGGCTTGTCCATTTATCATTTGAAATTCACCCACTCCTGCCTCTAATTCCATACAACCACACATTTTACACTGAATGTAAAGCTTGAATACATCCTTTCAAGATTGAAAGGTGATCCCTTAAAGAAAAAAGTCCTTTTCATATCCATCAATCTAGTTCTGTATTCTGAAGGTCCATTTCCTTGGTAGCAATTTGTACAAAACAATCAATTACCGTGGGTATTTCTATGCTATTATTTCACCTCCCACACTCACCCTGGCTGCTAGACAAGAATGGAAGCTGAAATGTCTTCTTTGGTTTACAAGAGCTTGAAGAGCAGGAATTTTTATTCTATTCTGGGAAAAGGGACAAGTTGAATTAGGAAACAAAGCCTTCCCAGACAAATCAGGGTCTATATCCGCAAATTGTTCCATTGACTTATTTTGCAATAAACTGTCTTCGACTACCTTCCATTTTTGGGCATATGGGATCAGACATCTTCACATTCCAGACTAGTCTAGAGGGAGTTATCAAGAAACCAAGATCTATGTGGGAAGGAAATGAGTGTGCATGGGGAAAGAAAAAGAAAATAAAATGGTTGAAATGCCAACATGTTAACAACCCTGGGGCTTTTCCTAATTATAAAAGCAAATATATGAACTTTTGTTAGTGGTTCATACCCTAAGAAGCCTACAAACTTCAAAATAGTTGTTTTGGCATATTTATCTCAGCATTCATCAACTAGATAAATTGATGTTTCTAAGCTTTCTAAGGCCCCATCTACACTGCCATATAAAATCCAGATTATCTGCTCTGAACTGGAATATATTGGTCTACACTGCCATATAATTCAGTTCAAAGCAGATAATCTGTATATTTATATGGCAGTGTTGATGGGACCTAAGGTTTCAGGCAGGAATCTTTCCTTGAGGAATCACTTGGAGATCCTTGGTAGAATGCATCTATAGCAGGCATGGGCAAATGTTTTTGCCCTGGGGCCACATTGCGGGCCTGGCCAGGAGAGAGGGTGGGGTGGGCCCAGGAGGGGGTGAGGCTGGGGGTGGGAAGGGCCATTGAAGGAGTGAGGCTAGGGATGAGTGGGCCTGGGAGGGGTGAGCCCAGGAGGGGCCAGGGCCAGAGGCGGATCACCCTCAGGCTTACCTCCAAGGATACGGATTGGGCTGTTCACCCCATCCTTATGCTGGAAGGAAGATGAGCCTTTGGAGGTCCCTTGGCCTCTGCCTGCCTCTCCCTTCTGCCAGCATCAAGACGGGGCCTCACCTTGGAGCCACTTCACCCGCCGCTTGCCTCTTCACTCATGATGGGCTTCTCCCAGAATCTGGATAGGGTCTTGCCTCACCCTGACGCTGGGAAAAGAGAGAGTCAAGCGGCAGCCGAGGCAGCTTGGAAGCCACTTCACCCACCCTCTTCACCCAGACTGGGTTTCTCACAGCATCTGGACAGGGCCTCACCTTATCCTGACAGTGGGTGAAGGAAGAGGCAAGCAGTGGGCAAGGCTGCTTTGGATTCGCTTACCTCTTTGCCCAGGCCGGGCTTCTCACAGCATTGGAACAAGACCACTTGCCCTGTCCTTGAGAAAGAAAATTCTAATTTTTAAGCAAATGTACCTGCAAATGTATCTTATTGAAGTAAGTGAATCAATTTTTGCCGCAAAATTAATTTTTTTTAAAAAATGAATTACTGTGCTTGAAAAAAAAAAGACAAAACAAAATCAAAGGTAGATTAGAAAAGGAATCAATGGAAACATTTTCAGTTGTTTATACATAATATTCATAACTGTTGTCAATATCCCTGTACTGTACTGTGTTTAGTATTCCAAAAGTATTTCATTGCAAAGCTATTCTAGTTTGATACACAATGTTTTATTTGAAATGCAAAAACAGCAACACTGGTGTCAGAATAATGGAGGAGAAACTGAGTGACATTCAAATTTTTGTCATGGACTACAACTCATCTTTGTAATGTGGCATTTCAGATTGCAGGTGGGGTGGACAGACCCAAGATATTCCTGAGGAAGAGCAGAAAATCATATCCTTCTCGTTGTTTTTAGCATCTGAAACTACTAAAGTTATTTTGACAACAGAGGCCAAAAATCATGCAAACACCTATGAAGCAGACCTCCCTGTATGCCTCACTCTACCTAATGATAAAGCCAGCTCTGGTGTAGAGGTCAATGGTTTGATGATTTCAAAGTGTAAAACAGCAAATGACTTCATCTGCATAGAACACAAATATATTTGCAAGAAGGCCAAGCCTTCTTGCAAATTCTTCCAGTCTCTTTTCTGACTGAAAAAGAGGCAAGATGTCCAACATGACCCCAATCTAACACTGTCCATTATATCAAATGGGCTCATAAGCATACCAGAACTTTTCTCAGCCTTTTGCAATTGGCCTACCACCAGGATTAAGAGGGAGGGATTTTTTTTCCTGCAGAAAAGCAAACATCTGTATGCAGCTGTGTAATTAAAGAGTCATTTAAATCCTACGTCTCCAGAGCCTATTCTCCTTTTAGAGCTGAGTGCATTATATGTAAAAACATAAAACAGCAATAACAAGACCCCACAGTGTCCTTGTGCCAATTTATGGGAATACTTCAATTAACAAAGTAGATGTACTCTTAGACTTTACTTTAAAAGAAACTTTGGTACTAGTAATATAAATACCATGGAAAGAATAGGGTCAGGGTCTGAAAGCACAAACATGAAGAGCAGTTTAATGTGTTTCAGGAAAAAAAGATTTTTTGAAATATTGTGAAACAACTTGAAAGTTTCTTCCAATACGATGATCCCCCCCCCCCAAAAAAATTGTAATAGCCTCCCAAGTTGTGCCCAACTTATGATAACCCTAAGGCAAATATTTCATGGGGCTGTCTTGGAAAGTTTTGCCTTTGCTTCACTCTGAGGACCCATCCAGACAGGGCATAAAACGTGTGGCCTCCTACATATTTCCCTGTAGCGTCCAGATG